CCTCTCGCCAGCTCCCCCTCTCTCTGGAGCCCCCACCCCACTGCTCCCCTCTGGAGCTCCTGCCCTGCTGCCCACAGCCCCTGGAGTCTCTCCCACCCCTCCCCAGGAAGCCCCCTCAACCCACTGTCCTCCTCACCCTTCCACCCAGGCTCTCTGCCCCCTCACCTCACCACCTTGTCCCTTCCATCCCCACAACCACTTCCCCTTTCAGGCTCCCCCTTTTTTCCAGACCTGCTGCACCCCGTCTTCCAGAGCACAGGGGCTCCTCCGAGCCAGCTGGGCCTCGCCCCGCCCGCCACAGCCTGTGAGTGCGAGGGAGGGACATGGGGGCAGGCACAGGGCACAGGGACCCTCCATCTCCCCTCACCCCCATTTCTTCCAGTTCAGGCTGTGCCCAGGAATGCATCCGCTGCAGGCCCCAGCAGGCCGGGCCCCAGGTGAGCGATGGACACCCCGCCCCAGGGGGCCCAGGGTTGGGGGAAAATGGAGCGGAGGAGAAGCTCAGGCGAGGGAAGGAGTGTGGGAGGGGTGAGGAAGGGGCTCTTGGGTGAGGGGAGTCCTGGGATGCAGGCCTGAGGGAAGGGAGGGAGCAGGGACGGGGTGATGGAGGCAGGGAGGGACTGGAGTGGTGGGGCGGGGGCAGCTCTCCATGCCCCTCACTGTCTTCTGTGGGTGCAGGACAAGAAGGGCACCAAAGAGGAGGAGGGGAGGTGGCTGCAGGTTCAAGGACGTGACCCCCTCCCCGACAGATAGGTCCCAGGCCCCCAGCAGCACTGGGACACTTTTCAGTGGGGTGTAGCGTGCCAGTGACCCTGCAAAGCCAGTGTTACACCCCCTTGCCTCTGTGCCCCCCAAGCTGGGGCTGGGAGCAGGGCCATGGCCTTGGAAGGAGGACCAGGGTAAGGGGTCGAGCTGGGGGCCACAGCACAGGGGGTGGGAGCTTCTAATGTGGGGGAGGCAGCTGGGATCCCAAGTGCAGGGCCAAGAGCGGAGCCCCCAGAACCCTTGGTCCCACAGATGCTCCACATCCCCATAACCCCCTAACACAGCTACCCTCCCACCCCATCTTTGCTGACATGACAGATGGAGACCATGCAGCTGGAGGACCGAATGGGGGGGGCCTTTGTGACCCAGCAGCGCTGCTCCCCCTGGCGTTCCCCGTCTGGACGCCTAGAGGGTCTGTCCCCCCTGGTCTCAGAGCAGGAGCTCAGTACCATCCAGGTACCAGGGGGAGGAGCCAGCAAGGGGGCCATGGGAGGGGCAGTGAACAAGCGGAGGATTTTGGGAGTTGCAGGAGGGGCTAGATGGGCAGTGGGAGGGGCTAGTGAGGAAGGGGGGGCAGTGGGGAGCCCCTGGACCCTTCCCCCACCCACAGCCGGGGGGCTCCCAGCCATCAGGGAGCACAGGGGGGGTCACAGGCTCCCAGGGATCCAGCGCAACACAGGCTGGACAGCACAGGGCCAGGGGCAGCCTGGCTTGGGGGAGGGGGCCCTAACCCCTATTCCCCCTCCTTGCATACTAAGCCAACTCACCCCCCCCAGGAGCAGGTCCCAGGCTGCAGGCAGCCCCACCCCTGCCTGTGCCCCAATTCCGGGGCAGAAAGGGTCACCTGATGTCACCTGCTTGCCTCTCCCACCCAGGCTCAGGTTACAAGACAGCCTGCACCATAGAGGTGATGTCTACACCACAGGGATATATCAGAAAAAGGTACACAAAATGCACTCCACAATTTGTGTACCTTTTTCCAATAGTTTTTTTTTTTTGGAAGAGGCTTTTTCGAAATTTGACCCGTCTACTCAGGGCCAAATTTCAGAAAAAAACCATCTTTTGGAAGAGCCCTTCTGCCTCGTGGGAGGAGGAGGACAAGGCTTCCGAAAGAGCACATCTGCTCTTCCGCAAAAAAATCAGAAGAACAGACACATTCCCTGGACGCGGTGGTGTTTTTAAAAACCCTGTAGTGTAGACATAGGCAGTGTACATGCTGGCCTGGACAGCCTGAGGTTGCCTCCTCAGTGAGAGCCACACTCAAAACACCCAGCCCAGACCAGCACCAGTGCAGTGCCCAGGGAAACTGAGGCACCCCCCCTCCCAGTTACTACAGGGCAGCACAGACAATAGGAATCCCCTGTAACATAACAAAGCGAACTGAGTGACTCCAATGCCCCTGCCTCACATCGGGGCTAGTGGACGGCAGGAGGACCAGGTCTTGGTATGTGTTTGTGGGAGGTAGTTCACCCTGGGGGGCTCTGCTCTCCCGCCATCCCTCCCCATTTGCCCCTCAGCCCCTGATGCACTGCCCCTCTCATCAACAGGGGCCCGGCAAGTTCCTGAACAGAGTGACTTGTGACCAGCCCCCCTGCAAGAATTCGGACGGCGAGACTGATCAGTCAGAGAACATGACCAAGGACACCACTGAGCTTGGCCCATAGACATGGGCCAAGATTGTCATAAACACGGGTTTCAAATCCAGCCCCGCCCTGGGGTCCTGCCCACGCACTGTCGGCTCAGTCTCATCCGGCCCCCGGGCCTGGTGAGCCCCGGGGCATTATGGGAAAGAGCCATGCTAGCCCCAGGGCATTGTGGGAAATGAATGGACAGTGAGCCCCGGGGCATTATGGGAAAGAGCCATGCTAGCCCCAGGGCATTGTGGGAAATGAATGGACAGTGAGCCCCGGGGCATTATGGGAAAGAGCCATGCTAGCCCCAGGGCATTGTGGGAAATGAATGGACAGTGAGCCCCGGGGCATTATGGGAAAGAGCCATGCTAGCCCCAGGGCATTGTGGGAAATGAATGGACAGTGAGCCCCGGGGCATTATGGGAAAGAGCCATGCTAGCCCCAGGGCATTGTGGGAAATGAATGGACAGTGAGCCCCGGGGCATTATGGGAAAGAGCCATGCTAGCCCCAGGGCATTGTGGGAAATGAATGGACAGTGAGCCCCGGGGCATTATGGGAAAGAGCCATGCTAGCCCCAGGGCATTGTGGGAAATGAATGGACAGTGAGCCCCGGGGCATTATGGGAAAGAGCCATGCTAGCCCCAGGGCATTGTGGGAAATGAATGGACAGTGAGCCCCGGGGCATTATGGGAAAGAGCCATGCTAGCCCCAGGGCATTGTGGGAAATGAATGGACAGTGAGCCCCGGGGCATTATGGGAAAGAGCCATGCTAGCCCCAGGGCATTGTGGGAAATGAATGGACAGTGAGCCCCGGGGCATTATGGGAAAGAGCCATGCTAGCCCCAGGGCATTGTGGGAAATGAATGGACAGTGAGCCCCGGGGCATTATGGGAAAGAGCCATGCTAGCCCCAGGGCATTGTGGGAAATGAATGGACAGTGAGCCCCGGGGCATTATGGGAAAGAGCCATGCTAGCCCCAGGGCATTGTGGGAAACTTAGCGAGCTTTACACGCTCCTCTGTGCCGATTGGGTAACTCGGTGTCACATGAGTCGTGTGCACGAGCAGGAAGTGGTGAAATTTCAAGATGGCGGCTTTCCGCGGTCCGGCCCGGCCAGGGCCGCTCTAGCCCGCAGTCCGCCTCCAACTCTATGGCTGAGCCTGAGCCACCCCAACCCGGCCTGAGCGGGGGGTGGAACCAACTGCGCCACTTGCCAGGTGGCTGGGGAGGCCCGGTCACTGAGAGGCGGGTGGACCCCCCATCAGATTAAATGGTTTCTCCCGACTGGGGCTCACTGTCCCCTCTGTCCCTACTTACCCCATCTTGGTACAGTCCGACAGGGGTTCTTAAAGGGGCAGCGACCAGTTGTGTTTCCTGCATTGCTAAGCGCGCCAGAGCCGGGAATACTAAGGCCGGGGGACCCGGGCCGGTGCATTAGCCGGGGGAGGCCGGGCCCGGGGCATTGGCGAGGGGGGACCCGGGCCGGTGCATTGGCGGGGGGGGACCCGGGCCGGGGCATTAGCCGGGGGAGGCCGCGGCGGCGACAGGGCGGGGGGG